CGGTTAGGGTTTTTTTTCTTTTTCTTTTTCCCTCGGTTGGGCGACAGAGAAAGGGGAGGGATTTTTGGGTTTAAGGAGGGGTTTTGGATTTTTAACCGTCAGTCCCTTAAACCTTTAATGTTTTTAACTCGGTCCCTTAAACCTTTGAAATTGCCATGGAGTCCTCCAATCCTCATATCATGCTACCGCTACTCTAGATGGGAGGATTAATCTGAAGTAATCACTTATAAGAATTGGTTTCCCTCAAAATAATTTCAAAGGTTTGAGGGACCAAGTTTGAAATACTTATATAAGTACTGGGGGACCCCATAGCAATGTCAATCACGTGAGGGACGAATTGAATATATTGAAGACGTAATGGACTAATATAAAAAAGGGTTAATTGCGAATGACCCCCCTGGTATCACCCAATTGCAAAGAGGTTCTTTGTAGTATTAGCACAAGCACGAATAGGCCCCTTGCAAATAGGTTCCTTGCAATTCTACTTACCCCTTGTAGTATTAGCACAAGGGCGAATGCGCCCACTAGCGAACTTTTTTCAACTATTTTAGAAGTAAAAAAATTAGCAATTGCGTGTCTAACCTCACCAATTAAACTATAGGAGGTCTATCCCATTCCTCAAATATTTTTAACGATATTAAGAGTCAAGAAAATTCACGCGGAGGGTCTACTCACAACAAGTAGAACAACTGGGGATCCATTGTCGACAAATAGAACTACAGGAGGTCTCTGTGACCTCCTGTGTAATTGGGTGATATTACTGGGGGTCTATTGGCGATTAACACTATAAAAGAAACCATGTCGTACCAAAGGTACTATAATATCAGTGTAATAAAAATGTAGATCAAAATCCAAACAATATTCATGTTCTTCATATGAAAAAAATTCCGATACAGAAATACATACCCAGCGTGCTATGAGATAAAACAGAGCACAGGATGAGCCTTTTTCAGGAAGCAACGGAGCTGCTACAATGATTGTTGTCTTATATTTAAAGCAAATTAGCGAATCAATTTACTAATTTACTAAGAACTGAACAACTAAACAACACATTTACATCATATCCTCTCATTCCCTCTACCTTAAAACATGGAGAATGGTAGGACCCACACAATCACCTTACAGTACAAATTCTATGAGCTCTTCACATTGCTCATCTCATCTACTGTTGCAATTCTCCTCTTTGCTACTTTTGACCTATAACACCAAACCTCAAAAGCCTCGGTCAAGTCTGGATACTGAACGTGCTGACTTCTCAACCACTCGGCTAGTATATCTGCTTGCTCGCTTGATGGCAGCGTAAGTATAATCGAAACGAAAGCAGACTCCAATCCTTGCCATATATCATTTTCCATCCTAACTGATGAAACTTCCTCATCATCATCATCTACATTTCTTCGCTCTACCAAAGGCCTCAGTTTTTGAACATACGGCAGCCAAACTCTTATCATGTGAAGTCTCTTTACTGTTGGGAGTATCACATTTCCTAATCCGATGGCCTCCAAGACCTTTGAAGCAACTTCGGTGATTTTCAATTTGGTCTCGAGCATTTCACCGTCAGAATGTAGTTTCTCAACTGTACTCACTATTATGATTGATGCATCAACCCAATAATGTACCAAATCCTTAATCATCTCCATCTTGTTCAGAATCTGACTAACCCACGAGATATCACATAAAAGAGACCTCAAGTGTTGCACTCTATCGTGTGATGCATCTACTAATGTTTCTACTTGAATATTGAATCTTGATAGTAAATCTTTAACACATCTCCTCACTTCGCATTTTATAACCTCATTATCCGAAGTTAAAAGTGGTGCATCATCATCTTCAGTAAGCATATACTCAAGCTGCTCCTGAGCAGAGGACTTCAGCTCCTTCATCGAAGTTGGGGGTGACGAAGTGGCAAATTGGATGGCTGAGATGAAAATTCCAACAACAGCACTTTGATCAACAGGCTGTAATCGTGCAAGAATTTGTTCATACTCAGGTCCAAGACCTGGAACTATGCGTAAAATTTCTTCTTCATCAGCTTCTTCCCAAGGAACAGCTTCCAAGTATTCAACACAAGCATGAGACATCTGAGGGCAGCCTAAATGGATGGCAACTTGGAGGATGCCGAGGGCATTTCTGACATTGTGCCATGAATGGGGCTCTGGTGTGTAAAAAAGGCGAAGTATAGATACATGAAAATTGAGATCCGGTTCTTTGCAGTAGACTTCAACACAGTAGCGGGAGTCGAGGATTTGGCAAGTGGGCCAGTTATCTGAGAGGCGATCAGCAAAGTACTTGCTTTTTTTTGTTAGGATTTCAGAGTGACAATAGAACCAATGGTCTCCACCTTCATCAGTTCTCAGTCTGACAACAACATCACTAGTTATTCGATCACCGATCTTGACTGGATGCTTAGATGTTTCGTTGACCTTTTAATTTCAGAAACAGAAATGAAGATATTAGATAATCTAAGTACTTCTTATGCCTGGAAAAGATTATTTCGTAGATTGTGTGGTATATGCAAATAAGTTATGAAGCATTTCGATAGTTAAATGGAAGCCCATTGATAGCATATAACCCAAAAATAGAATCGTCAAAAATGAACCTGTTTTATTGAAGGGGGAGAAAAATTGAAATAGAAGAAACAATATAGTGCAGGACAAAGTTGAAGTTTGACATAATAAGGAACAAGGTTTGAACTATGAAGGAGCCTTAAACTAAATCAAGCCAAGCTAACTGTCATAATACCTACATTCCATGCATGATACCACTCTCTCTTAACCTGTAAGAAATTCTTTTATGGAGTAGCATGCTAGCCTAAAAGAGAACTAGTTCATTGCTTGATGTAGAAGACTAGAAGAAAACTGTAATATTCCCTATATAATTAACTCTTATGATGCTCCATTGGAAGAGAACTAGTTCATTGCCTGATGTAGAAGACTAGAAGAAAACTGTAATACTTCCTATATAATTAACTCTTATGATGCTCCATTGGTCCACAAGGATACAGGAAAATCAAGCGCCAAAACCATGTGAGCTATTGCTACTTTTTGCATCCTCCTCGTAAATCTCAACAAGTCACCTCCTTATTCTCTAAACCAGAGAATAAAGACTTGGCATTAATTGACCTCGATCTTTTGTACTTCAGAAAGTTTTGAAATTTTCAAGCATTCCAGATATGCAGCCAAGTACACAGGCATTGAATGACCACATATCTGATGAGCGGTGGACGTACTATGTACTTGGTATGAATAGGCAACAGCATATCAAATTATACAGATCAATCTCTCAATGCACAAGTAATTCTGATAACAAGTTGGCGTCATTCTTATATGCATGATGGCGATTTTATAGTACAATGCTTAAATAGAAGCGAGAAGAGCGTTCCATGCAAGCTCTCTCAGATGGCCTAAGTTATCCTCATTTAAACCCTTCATGACCAAACAGATTCAACATAATCTTTTTGATGTTGTTCACTTGATATATTCAATCACGACAATAGATGATACAACCAGGAAGAACAAGATGACTTTATCTGACCACATTGAAGTGAAGGATACATTAACAAGAAAGAAACATTGTTTAACAACCTTGATTGAGAGATAACAAACCACAAAGGATTCCATTGCTTGGTAAACTATTGTCTTATGATAAACATAAAATATAGCAAAGTGATAAAGACAATAGCCGAAAAGAAATCCTCGTCCTGGTGTAAAATTCTCTCTCCTTGAGTAACTCCTTCTTTAATTCAATATCACTATGTCATACAGAAGAAAAAAGAACTGTTATAAATCACTTGTTTAAGGAGACGTGATGAGGAAAATTTACATACCCATACTTCTATCCTCTAAATTGGATACTTGAGATTTCTCTACTTTTCCTCTAGAACACGGGATCCCTGCCTATGAAACTACAAACCAGATGGCCATCCATCATGTCCATCTCATTGTTAGTCTATCCAGTTCTAAATGCCTTTACCGGAGCACCCTTTTTATAAGAAAAACTTTCCCTCCGTCAAGCCCTTTTCTTCAAAGACTAAGAAAATCATTATGTTCAGCTTTTAAGTTTTCGAGTTTTGATGTCTAACAAGTAATGCATCAAAGTGATGATCTGCCTTGTCCTAAAGCATTTTGGAAAGAGTTTATTGTTTCTCATTGGTTATTTGGTACTCTATATTTAAATTTGCCCACAGTTTTTGTGATACATACTGTCGCATACTTGATTGATTAACTATTGCATATTGGTTGGTGCATCTTACATAGACGATATGACACAATACACAATACGATAAGTGGGAAAAGTGATACATGATGCATACCCTAATTTGACAACTTTGATTCAAATGAGATTAAAAAAACAAATAATAGATAGGACCAGCCAAGGAAAAAATACCTATCCAGTCAACTGACTAATTACAACCTTTCAAGTTTGATCATGAAAATTTCAATTTCTTGTATTTAATTATAACAAGGATCTCACGTCGTGCTTTGAAAATATTCTAACCAATAATCACATAACTACATAAGACAGTTCACAAATATTCAAGAGCTGACTACAATTGCAAAATTAACCACAGCTCAAGAGACTAACTGCAACTCCAATATGCTTAGCATTAGAACCATTTTTTAGTTGTATATCTGTCAAGAAACAGCAGATTTAGATCGAAAAGCAAATGGGTCTTAAATCTCAGACTGGATTATTTAATTACAGAAAACCCTCATGAACTTTTGGGGAGTTGCAATAAACCCACATCAACTTTTTTATTACACTAAACCCCCATGAGTTTTTGGGGGAGTTGCACATAATCCCCATGAATTGTTTTATTTCACTAAATGTTATCTGAAAATCTATCTTTTAAATTCCCTGTATAAGCTCCATCAACTTCAACATGTCACTAGTAAGCATAGAACAAAAAAAGAAGATCAAAAATTTCTTCTTAGTTCCAAAATACCCTTTTACTTAAAAAAGAAAAGCAGGTCATTTTTTGGGGGTTAAATGGCACTTAAATACCCTATTGTTTCACTAACTTTATACTTAAATACCCTGAGTTGCAAAAAGTAGCACAAAAATACCCTAAATTGTCCACCGTTTGAATCATGTTAACACTGTCAAAAACTATCTGTTTTGACAAAAACACCCTCCATTAAAATGGTGATAATAAATTGATGGGGTACGTAAAATTGTAATTAAAGCAACAAATGGGGTCAGGTGCTAAGCGCAACTAACAAAAGGTAGCAACGTGCTACTTTTGAACAACTTAGGGTGTTTTTGTGCTACTTTTGAACAACTTAGGGTATTTTTGTGCTACTCTTTACAACTCAAGATATTTAAGTGTGAAGTTAGTGAAACAATAGGGTATTTTAAGTGTCATTTAGCCATTTTTGGGACTAAGGAGTTATTTTTATTTTTTTGTTGGCACACGCTGCCACATGAGATGTTAGAATCGATGGTGCTAATTTTGATATTAAATGAGAAAATTTAATGTGAAATTTAGTGAAACAAAACAATTCGTGGGGGTTATGTGCAACTCTCCAAAAGTTCATGGGGGTTTAGAGCAACAAAAAAAGGTAATGGGTATCTACTATTTACTGCAACCCCCCAAAAGTTCATGGGGTTTTTCTGTAATTACCCCCATTCAGCATTCAAAATTTAGGGATTTTTCAGGCATATGATGATACTCAGTAGTGTTTTCAGTAATTTGCCAAAATAAAGGGATTGCAAACCTCAAGTTACCAAAATCCAATATATCAAATGATACATCACTCATCAAAATTGGCAAGCTTTCATCTCCAACCCAAACCCTAAATCAAAAGATTCTATCAAAATGCAAGTCGAACAACTCGACACCAATGCTTATGATGAGCGTAGGGACTGATCCACAACCAAAGAATCATTCGCTTTCATGAATCTAACACTTGTAATTATTCTAAAATTATGAGGTTAGTAAGAGAATCAAGCAAATTAATGGGTTCAAAAGTTTGGGATCGGGAAAAATTAACAGCTAATACAAGCAAAATCAGTGTCCTTACCTTCGCGGGATCCGCAGTTGCTGACATTTGACGGCGAGAGCAACTTTCAGAGTGTGGAGAGAGAGAGAGAGAGAGAGAGAGCTTTGAGCTTCCGCAGTCAGGTTACTTTTATTGGGCTTTAGACTCTTTTTTCAACGGTGGGCCTATAGCTGCTGCAAATGGAGCCCAATAAGCACGTTGCGCTCGTTTTTTTATTTTTATTTTTATTTTTATCTTTTACATTAGCACCTTAAATCTTGAATAGTTTTCAATTAGTCCTTCAGATCATTAAATGGCCATTAGGTCCCTTAATTTTTTTTATAAGTTGTTTCAAAATTCGCCCCTCAAATCACTGAAGCTGTTATTATTATATTCAACGTCAGCAAACTAATTAGGACCATGGTGATTGAAAAAGTTATCAAGAACTCTCACGCCCTTCACGAAATTAACACATCCAACGTTCAAAATTATACTTTGGACGTCCAACGTACTCCAAACAAAACGAACACGCTCATAATTAATCACTACACGCACGCACAATGTGCTTATTTCTCTCCTCGTAAATTAAATGACACCTCTCCGCCTCGTCTACTCGAATCTCCCTCCTAAAAGTTCAAACATCCGAACATTCCCTCCCACTTCTATACGAACGCTCGGACGACGGTGAGTAAGACGTCGCCGTCGGTTGCGGAATCTCCGCCGCCGCGAACTCCATCGTGTCGTCCTCGGAGATCGTGTCGAGGCTGGAGTTTCGAGTTCCGCCTCCACGAATTCAGACGAGGGCACGGAGCGACGCGCCGCGAAGGGGCGCCCTCTCGCGTGGGGTTGCGCCGTCGTGCCATGTGCGGCTGCGCCTCGAAGAAGAGGGAAGCAATTTGGATTCTCGACATATCGCTCTATGAGTTGAACCGGATGGAGGGGCTGTAGTTTGTTGCTGATTTGAACAAGAATGAGATGTTTAGGAGTCGTTATATAGGGGATTTAGAAGGAGAATAAGGTAATTGGTAGGGGGAGGCAGGGGTAATTTAGGGAGAGATTAAGTTTGTATTGGCTGCTTTATGAATTAAATGTGAGGTTTGGAGTTATTTGTTGGGTTCGTCATCCGGGGGAGAGTGCTACGGGCAAAGGACGGCCGGAGTCCTTTTCCAACTTCATGTTGTTTGCCCGCTAGATCCCGTCACCTCTCATTACTACCAAACTTTCAAAATTTATCTCAACAGTTTCAACTGCAGTACTGTGAGAACTACGGACCGTTCAATGACATTCTGTTGGATGCTCCGTTTGCTTTAAGGTTATGCTCCATGGATTAAAGCTCCAGGTGGAGTGCGCATGACATTATATTCTGTTGGATGCTCTGTATGTTTTGAATGATCTGTTTTGCAAAATCGACCTGGCCAAAAAGAGGTCTATTTTGCTAAATATTCAGCAAAACGTACGGTCTGTTTTGCTAAATATTTAGCAAAATAGGTCTATTTTGCAAATTTCTTCGTTAAAGTGCGGTATCATGCTTGGCTTGGGCTCGAGCGGGTCTGAGCCAAGGTGAACATTTGTTGAGGAGCGTCGTCTTACCTCCATTCAGTCAAGTGTGGAGTTGGTTCAGATATTACGTACGTATAATACCTTTTACCATACTACTCTACTCGCAGCCTATATATAGCAATCACTTTCAAATTGAGGCCCTAAAACACTATTCAAAGGTCAGATGATCCAAGCTTCATCTGTGGCAAGGGTGAGAGCAACGTAGTAGCCCCTGATCCAAAACTCACCTTTTTCAAAAGGACCGCAGCCTTCGTCGTCTTGATTTTGATCGCTCTCCAAACCCAACGTCGACACCTCTACGAACTCAGCGCTATCCAAATCTTGCCCGAGGATGCACGGCACACTAACTGAATCCTCTCGAAAGCTACTTGCTCACTGCAATAATCTTCACCATAAAATCTTGTATGGTACTTGAATTATCTCATATTCTCATGCACGTGGAATGTTCCCGAAGGATACTAAAATACCTTACCTATGCTTTATCTCCAAAGGTTTTTTCACCCACTTTCGAGTGTGTCGAGGATTTTGCAGTTTTGCGTTGAAAAATGGGCATCCACAAGTTTAAAATCCTGAATTGTAGTCAAATATTTGGTTTGGTTGACATTTCTCTAATAGAGATTTGGGTTGCTGTATCGGATGGACGGATCAAATGCAACCGGTAAGTTGATTTCAGTTGGATTTACGATTTGAATCTAATATTCTCAACAAAATTCATGTTGATTTGATTGAATTTTGCATGTCATGCAAATCTTCTTGATGTAGAACACATGGTAAACATATTTATATGGAAGCGGGACAAACACAAGCCCAAACGCGGACCCGGTCGAGAAAAATAACTTGCAGCGAAGATTTGGTCATATCTTTCAAACCATTAGTCGAAATTGGACGAATTATATATAAAAATCGCGTATTTTTTCAAGACGGGGCCAATCTAACTGACCGAAGCTCAGTTTACCACCGTCCGTTTCGCTAAATTCCCTCCGGATTGAGAGATATCGGCGTTTTTGTCAGTTTTTTACTATTTTTGGTAATGATTTAGGAGTTTGTTTTGATTATGAAGCAAATCCAGTTTAATCCTAAATTTGACCGATTTACTTCCCTAATCTTAAGGAGTCTTTTTAGGAAGAGTTTTGTTATTTCTATTTTTGATAAATTTTGAGTAATAGGAGTCTTATTTCTTTTCTATTTAAGTAGAGTATTGTAAGCCCTAGAGGGGATATCTTTTCATCAATAAAATTTCTTTTTTAATATTTTGTTATGGATTCGAATATTGTTATTTGTAGATTCAAAGAACACCCTTGGTGGATTCCGATGTTTTTTTTTACTTCTGTGCCACGTCAATTAGTATCAGAACTTTGTTCCTCCGATCTGATGACCAGGTTGACCATATCTGTAGCACTTGATTGAATCGGGCTTGGCATATGGGTTCGGTGGTGTAGCCTTCTTTGTTGTTGTGGTCGCTGGACATGTACCCTTCTCAGTTGTAGCATCTTGATCAGAAACAGTTTGTGATTGTTTATTCCCACCACGATTAAAGCTCGTGCGCGACCCGTCGGAAGCTGCCCATGATCCTCTATTATTTCGTCCAAGTTGTCGCTCCACCTTTTCGACTACCTATGTCTGCCAAGGTATATGTTTGCTGCAAGGATACACAATCAACTATTGGGCCTCGCTCTCATTTAAATTGTTGCGGGATGACAGTCGATAAAATTCCCGTGTGTACTCATCAACTATTCTTCCACCTTGTTTACAATTCTGGTATTGTTCGAATAAGACTTGTCCATAATCACCCGGCAAGAAATGGGCTTTCGATAGTTTCTTCATCTTTTTCCACCTATCGATTTTTGGCTTTCCTTGACGAGATCGATTTATACAAACTGATTCTCATCAAACTGATGCTCCACCTTTAAGTCAGTAGGCCACCAATTTTACCTTACCCTCATCTGGGATCTCCATATACTCAAAGAACATCTCTACTTCTGCAATCTAATCAAGAAATTCTTTGATATGAAGTTGCCCATTAAAGATGGCAGATTCATCTTTATCTCGAACCCTCCAGCATCATAACTATCCCTTTGTCGACGGTCTCTGTGATAATCACCATAGTGTGGGGGGATATGAAACTAAGGGTGATATAAACACAAAATAATATAAACAAGATAGTGGACAAAATAAACAAAGAGCAATTGACAATGGTGACAAAAATATAATGAACACTAAGCACAAATGAAACGACAAAGCAAACTCAAACACAATCAAATGATCACGGAGTTCGGACCTTCCATCCTACGTCTCCGCTCTCCACTCCTGAAGAGAAATTCACTATCACAACCGCGTTTTCTACGCTCACCTGAATAACGTTTATATCTGTATTTCTTTGATTCCGATTACAATTCGATTACAAAAGAGAAGAGAACGAATTTGGTTCTCTCCTTTGTTTAAAACTGGGTTCTTCAAGGTAGCGATGGAGTACCTCCTTCGATTGTTCGCGTCGAATTTGCTCTCCGTTGATGATCCGACCGTCTTTTATCTCGTGGGAACGATGAACTTCTGTAGAAAAGTTTTATGAGTAACTCTTGCACGAGTTTTAAGAACTCTGAACGAGTTAGAACTCCGTGAATAGAGTTGTTAGAACCGAAAATTCGGTTAATGACCAAGCAGATATTCTGTTGTTGAAGAATCTCTTCGGTTTTGATCTTCTGGACTTGATTCAAAAATCCTATCTCCAAGGGTTTTTGCCTCTCTCACGCCTCTCTGTGCAGTTGAGATCCTGAAGATCTAATTTGCTGCCTCTCTCACGCCTCTCTGTGCAGTTGAGATCCTGAAGATCTAATTTGCTGCTTCTTCGTACCAAAAAGCCAGCCCTTAACTCAGTTGAGTTTGTTGAGTTTTTATAGGTGGATAAAAGGTTGTAACTGCCCTCTAAATCCGCTCCTAAGTGGGCGTGATTTCCTCAGATCGTGGGGAAACAGTTCTGAAACCGTTCGGCTCGTATTCGAACGAGTCAAACGTCCAATCTAGCGTTCAGAACCCAACTTCGCCTCTTAGAATTGAGACGCGAGGTTGGGTGTTGGCTGAACACCAATGAACGCGAGGGTCGCTCGCGTTTGGTTTGTTATAGCTTGGAGACGCTGGGGTCGGTGTTGGCTGAACACCAATGAACGTGAGGGTCGCTCACGTTTGGCTTGTTATAGCTTGGAAACGCGGGGGTCGCCTGCATTCTCAAAATTGTGACGCGGGGATGACTTCCGTGTTTTAGAAGGGATTGGTTGATCTGTAACCTCTTCTAAGAGCGTTGCAAGGACCGTTGCTCGGTAATCCTAGCTTTAGCTGTTGTAGAATGTGAAAGTCGTCAGATTGTAACCTTCACTGTAGATTATGAAGGTAATCCTAGCTTTAGCTGTTGTAGAATGTGAAAGTCGTCAGATTGTAACCTTCACTGTAGATTATGAAGACTGCTGAATAGAGTTTTCATCAGTTGTCGGAAGTGTCGTTGAATTGTAACTCTTCTCGATCTATGTGAAAAGCCCCCTATTTGCAGCTTTCGCTCGACGACACGAAAAC